GACAGCACCTCTCAAGATGACTCGAACAATACGAATAGTTTCGCGATTCTAGAGCGGGCAGCAGACCGAGTTCAGAGCTCTGGATTCAACTGGCAAGCGCGACTGATGACTCTGAATCGGTTTCTATAAGCATCAGCTCTGTAGCTGTTGTATGGCTCGAGTTAAGTACAGAAAACCGAGGGCGCCTGTCAAGATGAGTCGAATAATACGAATGGGTTTGCGGACCTAGCTCGGCTAGCAGACAGAGTTCAGACCTCTGGATGCAACAGACGAACGCGCCTGATCATTCTGCATCGATAAGGTGTGCTTACCAGCTCTGTAGCTGTCCTGTGTCTCGAGTTAAGTCCAATATACCGACAGCGCGTATCAAGATGATTCGAAACGGCCGATCCCGCCTGGACGCTTCTTGGCAGTAAAAGGTACCCGATCGAGCCGAGATCAAGATGGCGAGCGGGAATAAGATCGAATATCACGGGAAAAAATACGAGAGCTCGAACGAATGGTTGAATTTCGAGAACAAAATTTTCAACCGACCAAAAGTCATCAAAAGGTCCGTCGAGATTTTTCTTGCCAACTAGCTTTCCAGTGCCCCGGAATTACTCTTACGCTTCCAGCAATAACTTGCTAAGGGAAGCTCTACGAGTTACGCATGGAAGCGTTTCTGGCAGCGCTTCAGCAGCGCTGCAGGGGAGCTCCCCAGAGCTCTCCAGGAACAATTTCCCGTTCCTGAGGGTCTCTTCGCTCTCCGGGTTTTGGACGCTACCAAGTACCTCGTAGAGCTCCTCGTTATCGATGAGCTAGAGGAATTCCGGCGCGGGGTGGAGCTAGTTGGCCCACCCGGCCGGGGCGGACAAATTGGTGACTTTTGGTCGGTTTTGCAAAAATTTGAAAGATATTTGACAATTGATTTTGAGAAAGCAGATTTTTGCGCGTCGCAGTGGCATGTAAACTCATCTCTGACAGCAGCTCAGCTCTCTCGATGTATTTTCTTATGAGTTGACATCCAGGAACTGAGCGAATGTAAACATCGAAAAAATCAAAAATAAAGATTTTCGAAAACTTTTTTATTTTTTATTATACTTCGATTCTCAGCACTCTTACCAGTGTGAGGAGCTCTACGAGGTTCCGGGCGGTGACTAGGTTGACGGTTCACCGCCGGCGCCAGTGGAAGCTACCAAGTTGAAAGATATTTGACAATTTGTTTCAAGAAAGCAGATTTTTACTCCGAGCATTATTATTCAAACTTCATCCTGCAAGCAGCTCAGCTCTTTGGAGAGAGTTTTACTATCCAAACATTTGGAGGAACCGACATCATGTTGATACCGAAGACTAACAATTCAGTGTTTTACTAGAAATGCTCCGAGAAGCTGTCTGCTTTGCATCTCAGAATTCTTATGCGTGGAAGGAGCTCTACGAGGTTTCCGGCGATGACTAGGTTGACGGTTCGCCGCCGCCGCCAGTTGTTCCAAAGGGATTCCCCCAAGTGTGCTCAAAGCAATGGACCGGAATTACACTGGCAGACGCGGCATCGAAACGGCCGACGGTTTCCTTAAGTCTTTTGATCGTATTTTTGCAGCTACGGACCTGAGAATTTAACTGGGAGACGCGACATAACCCATATACGTGCAAAAATACCCGTTCTCCGAATGAATTGTCGAATATCCCACAAATATTCGCAAAACCGACCCAAAGTTGTCTCATTGTCTCTTTTGGTCGGGTCGGCCATCTAGCGCCGGAATTCCTCTAGCTCATCGATGCGAAGATCTCTACGAGCTACTAGCTCCACCCCGCGCTGGAATCCCTCGAGCTCATCGATGCCGAAGAGCTCGACGAGGTGACTGGCAGACGTGACATAACCACTACAGGTGCAACGAATCAGGTTTCTGACATAAATTTCAAATCTTAGCAAAACCGACTGAAAGTCGTCACATTCTCCGCCCCACCCCACGCCGGAATATCTTTAGCTCATCGCTAACGAAAAGCTCTACGAGGTACTAGCCCTCCAGCGCGCCGGGATTGGTAGCGTCCACTTGGTAGCAGCGTCGAAAATCCGGAGAGCGAAGAGACCGCGGTGACGGGAAATTGGTAGCGTCCACTTGGTAGCGTCCACTGGCGCCGGCGGTGAACCGTCAACCTGGTCACCGCCGGGGACCTCGTAGAGCTCCCCCCACGCATAAAGTACTCAGAGTCGAAAAGGGAGAGCTTCAGGAGGCATTTCTCGAAAAATTAAACATTCATTGTTTTCATGTCGAGATGAAGTTGGTTCCGCCAAGTCTTTGGATAGTAAATTTGCGCCTATGCAGCTCATATTAGACGCAGAGGCCCTCTTAGTCGTTTACAGGTGCGAAAAATTTGCTTTCTTAAATGAATTGTCAAATGCCTTTTAAATCTCAGCAAAACCGACCCAAAGTGACCACATCTTCTTTTCTGGCCGGGTCGACCAACTAGCTCCACCCCGCGCCGGAATTCCTCTAGCTCATCAGGTACTTGGTAGCGTCCAAAACCCGGAGAGCGACGAGACCCTTCGGGGACGGGAAATCTTTCCTGGAGAGCTCTGGGAAGCTCCCCTTCAGCGCTGCTGAAGCGCTGCCAGAAACGCTTCCATGCGTGCCTGCGCACGTGCAGGCACGCGTGAAAGCTTGCCGGAAGCTCTCCCGGACTTTGGGTCAGTTTTGCTGACATTTGAAAGATATTTGACAATTCATTTTTAAGAAAGCAGATTTTTCGCACCTGTAAACGATTATGAGGGCCTCTGCGTCAAAATATGAGCTCTGTAGGCGCACATTTACTAACAAACACTTGGCGGAACCAACTTCATCTCGACATGAAAAAAAATCAACTTTGCCTTTTTCGCGAAATGCTTCCAGAAGCTCTCTCTGTCGATTCTACGCACTCTCACGCGTGGAATGAGCTCTACGAGGTTCCCGGCGGTGACCAGGTTGACGGTTCACCGCCGGCGCCAGTCTAGAGACGTCAGACTATCGCGCCCGAAGATGTCCTTCCGCGTGATGTGCTAGAGGGCTCTGTAGCTCGTCTGCAGCTCGAGTAAAGTCAAGAAACTCATTATTATCTCCCAACAAATTAATAGAGTACGAATAGTTTCGCGGACCTAGCTCGAGTAGCAGACCGAGTTCAGACCTCTAGATGCTTGAGACGAACGCGCCTGACTGAGAGTCTGCGGTAAACCGTCAATCAGGTTACTTACGCGTGAGAACAGCTTTAAAAATCCCCGGAGAGCTCGCTGAGAGCTAGAGGGTTTAAGATTAGAAGCCGGACGGTGGTGGTGCCCGCCAGGAGCTCCTCCGCGGCGCTCGACGTTCCCCGCAGAAGCTCCGGCGAGCCGGCAACGTGTCCGGGAGCGCTTCTGGCAAGCGTCCACGCGTGCCTGCACGCGTGCAGGCGCGCGTGGAAGCGTTCCTGGCAGCACTTCAGAGGCGCTGCAGGGGAACACCCGCGAGCCTCAGAAGCGCTTCATTTCTGGCGTGTGTTCTCTTTGCTCTCCGGGTTTTGGACGCTACCAAGTTACGTGTTCCAGCTTTCACAGAAAGTCGGTTGATTCAAGTGGGGAACCGACAGCACCTCTCAGATCTCTCGTAAATGCGAATAGTTTCGCGGATTTAGCTCGAGTAGCAGACCGAGTTCAGACCTCTCGATAGGACAGACAAACGCGCCTGATGTTTTTGAATCGTTTTCTGTAAGTCGCATCTGTGCCTCTCTTAAATCTTGAGAAGTACAGAAACCGTCAACGCGTATCAAGATGCTCGAAACGGCCGACGGTTCCCTGAAGTCTTTGATAGTAATATTGCAGCTGCGGACCTGAGAATTTCATTCGGAGACGCGGCAGATCCCACTACAGGTGAGAAAAATACCGGTTCCCAAAACGAACTTTAACAATTTGCACAAATATTACAAAACCGACGCAAAGTTTCCACATTGTCTCTACACTGCGCCCGAATTCCTCTTTGCTCATCTTGCCGAATAGCTCTACGATGTATTTTTCTGGATCGATAAGGTATGCATACCAGCTCTGTAGCGCTCCTCAAGCTGAGGTTAAGTACAGAAAGCGAGAGCACCCGTCACGAAACAGCCGATCCCGCCGGAGTGCTTTTCGGCAGGAATACGTACCCGATCGATCTGAGATTAAGACGGCGAGCGGGAATAGGATCGAATATGAAAAGAAAACAGCTAGAGCTTTGACGACCTGTTTAATTCCGAGATATCGAATTTAAAGAAGTCGAGAATTCCCAAAACTTCTGGAGACTTTTGCCAACTAGCTCCCCAGCGCGCCTGAAATAGGAGCCGGCGGTGAACCGTTAACCAGGTTACCGCCGGGAGCCCCGTGGAGCTCTTTTTCTGGCGCGGAGCTGCTCAGAACACATGGAGGGAGCTTTCCCGGGCTTCAGCTGAAAAACTCGAAACAAGACGTTTTTCGGTTTATCAAAAGTCGGTTCATTCAAGGGTTTTGATAGTGATACTGCAGCTACGCGCCGAAACGCGCTTTGAAATCTCTCACAATAGGGAGCCTGCGGTGAACTGTCAACCTGGTCACCGCCGGGAGCCTCGTAGAGCTCTTTTCTCGCGCAGGGCTCCTCGGAACACTTTTTATCAGCTCGAGTGGGCGCCCCGTGGCTTAGGAGAGAAGAGGAAAGCAGCAGGGGGGGGAATAACAATGCGAGAAGCAGCAGCAGCAGCAAGCAGCGCAGACAGGCTCGGCCGCGGCCGCCACCTCACCCCGTCTTTGCGGGGCACCGCTCTAGCGCCGGGCGTCCGCAGGCCCGCGAGCTCCCCGAGCTCGCCCCTGCTCAGCCGGCTGGGCACAGGCAGCGCCAGCCGCGAGACCGGCGGGCCTGGCCGGCCGCGCGGGGCCGAGGGCTCCCCGGCCCGTCCCAGGCGCCGACCCAGGACGCTCGGCTGCCCGCCGGCGCCCCCCCGTGTCAGGGATGCCGTCGCCTGCCTCCAGGATCCGGGCTCGCGCTCGCGGAACCCACATCCGCGGAGCTTCACATGGAGCGCCGGCGCGAGCCCGCGCGCCGCCATCCAGCCGAGCTGTCCAGGCAAAAGCGCAGCGCCTGCAGGAACTCGTCCCTGCCGATGCCGTCGTCCTCCAGACCGTCGCCCTCCCGCTCGGGCGAGGGAGCCGGAAACGGCGTCCGCCGCGCTGGCATGGGCGGCTGCGCGAGGCGATCCGTCCGCCTCCAGACCGTCGCCCAGGCCTGCCGCAGCAGGGAGGGCCGGGAGCGGCTTCACCGCCGCGCGGGTCATGTCGGCCGCCCACTCGCCGCGGCGCCCTGCCCGCCCAGTGGCCGCCTTCGGAGCCCTCGCTGCCAGCTGCGTCCTCGAGCAGGTCGGCCCAAGCCGACCGCGAGTCAGGGGTTTGCACCGCCCGGGCCCAATCGGCTCCGTACTCCGACTCGATTGGGTGCTCTCCCCTGTCCAGCTCCACTGCCGCGACGCACCGCGGAGCGGCTCGGCGCCGGCGCCGCCCGTTGCCCTTCCAAGGGGGCCGGGGCCTGCTGCGCCGCTGGCGCCGCCGGCAGGCGGGGCCTCCGTTCCCGTCGCTCCTCCGCTGGGGCCGGTGGAGCGCCGCGGGCGGCACGGCGAGGGCGCCGCCAGCGCTCCTGGCGCCCCCCGCAGCTGCCACCATTGGCGGAGTCGCTGCCGGAGCAGATGCCCCTGCAGCTGCCGGGAGTGGCGCGTCCGCGTCGACGTCCGAGGATGGGCGCTCGTAGGAGCTGCTGCTCAGCTCCGGCTCCGCCCCGGCTGCTCCGGCGGTGCCTCCGGCTCCGCGGCCGGCGCGCGCGCCCAGAGCGCCCGCTCGCAGGGGCGCCCGGCCTCCGGCGGGCCAGGAGTGGGGCCGGTCCGCCTGTCCGCCGGCTGCGCGTGGTAGGGGCGGTGCCGCGCGCCGCGGCGCGGGCTGCGACGGCGGCGACTGCGGCTGCGCGTGCGGCTTCGGCCCCGCCCGCTTGTCCCCTGGCGGCGCCTCCGCCGGCGCGGGGACCTCGGCTCCGGCGAGCGGCCGCGCCCGCGTGGGCGCGGCGGGCTCCGCGAGCGCCGCCCAAGCTCCGGGGGGGCCTCCAGGCGCGCCTCACCCCGCGGGCTCCTGCCGCGGCGCCGGCCGGCAGGTGCGCCGCGGCCGCTCCCGCGGGCCGCCCTGCTCGTCCTGCTCGAGGACCTCCAGGTGCCGTCCTGCTGGCGCTGGCGCCTCGGCGGCGTCGCCAGCGCCCTTGCAGGAGGCAGCTGCGCCGCCTTGCGCGGTGCCGCCTCCCTGCGCAGGCGGAGCGCTGGAGGGGGCCGCCTGCGCGGCGCCGCCGGGCCGCCCGGTCGCGCCTGCGCCTTCGCCTTCCCCTTCGGCCGCGCCCGCCCCGCCGCCGCCTGCCACGGAGCCCGCGGCATCGACCCGCGCGCCAGGCGCGGGGGCGACCGGCGCCGGCGCGGCCTGCAGCTGCCACCCGCAGCCCGCCGGGAGGGGGGGGAGGCGCACCCAGCACCCCCCGGGCAGCCACTGCATGCGCCGGCGCGCCCCGGCGCGCCGCGCCCCGCAGCCCCTCGGCTCCCCTCGAGCCGATGGCCGCGGCAAGCTCCCAACCCCCTGAGAGGGGTTGGGAACTTGAGCCAGAATGGCAACGGATGCCCTTCTCGGAACACATGCAAGGAGCTTCCTTAAGCGTGCTCGAAAAAACACGTACTCGGGGTTTCCATCCAAAGTTGTTTCCTTCAAGTGTTTTCATATTAGTACTGCAGTTACGGACCTGAGAATTGCACTGGCAGACGCGGCATAACCCACTATAACTGCGAGAAATATTGGTTTCCAACACGAATTTTTAAATCTCTCACAATCTTCAAAAAACCGACGCCAGGTTGTCACATTGTCCGCCCGGGCGGGGTTGGCCAATGGGAGCCCGCGATAAACCGTCAACCTTGGTTTTTGAGTTTGAGCCAGGGCGCGGGCAGCTGTGTCAGCTGAACCCTAAGACTCCCGAGCGGAGCACAGGGTAGCACGTGTAAGCATCTCTTATCTTCACACTGCCGATCCGCGGAGGCTTAGGCATCGGAATAGGATGCACAGAGAAAGAAAAGCATCTCTTATCTTCACACTGCCGAGCCACGGAGGCGCAGGCATAGGAAATTTGATGCAATAATATTAGAGTGAAAAGGCAAAACCGAGCAATGATGAGATGATTCAGCTGCTCGGGTGAAAGAGGCTACCCAAAGTGTGCTCCACGGCCATGCAAAGCCGTTGTGCTGCAATCATCTCACATAACATGACAGAAGCAGAAGTATCAAGTGAGAATGCTTCCTCCGCGGCCAAACGCCACGTCCCGTGCACACACAAGTCTATACACCACCCTGCAGCACATCCCTCCACAGAGCGACCTCCGTCGAAGAATCCACGGAGGCCGTCTAGTTTTGTTTTACTCGCATGTTCAATAAGTGAGGCATGGAACGTAACGTAACTATTTCTGGTTCTGGCCAACCATGTCAGCCTGTCTGCTCTCCATTTCTTTCACGATAGATCACTTGAACATATTGTGGCCCCAACTCGGAGGCCTCATACCATACAACGCAGAGATATGCTCCAGCCTGTTTTGAATGTCGCCAAGAATGTGCTTGTATATCATATTGGATGTTGCCCAGAGACCGTTAATCCAGTTCACACCTTTGGGGGAGTCACCAATCAATTCCATCGGTATCGAATCCCGAGGCTCCGCATTCCACTCCGATGCATGTTCATAAATGTACGCAAGTCGTTTTTCCTTATTCTCGTTCTCCTTCCTTTGCTGCTCCTCCGTCTTCTCCCTCTCCTCCTCCTCCCTAACATATCCCGCAGGTTGTGCAGGTTTGTAATAACAATACCCCCATGCCTCCTCCATGTTAGTAACTTCCAGTGCCCGCTTCAGAAATTCTTTCCATCCCTGACGTGAAAAGGATAACGTATGATACCAATCCTTCCCTGATACCAGCTCACAAATGTAATGAAAGTTTCTCAGCGCCAGTGGTCTCCCCCGCTCATACCGACGTGTCATAAATGGGCGATCTTAAGCAGGCAATGAAGCAATGAATGCCTGCCGTGGATGAGTCCACTCCCCCGACCATGCAAAGATGCACTCTCTAGCCTGCATGTGCGAGTCCCCTGTGCTCCGATGATGAGGCGGAGCCACACGTCGCCGCTTGTTTGCAGCGATTTCCTGCGACGTGAGCTCAACAGAGGAGCGTTTTTGCGACAGAGAATCCTGAGATGGATGGGATGTCTTTGCACGCTTGTGCATTTGGGAAATCAGATTGCGCCGATGCGCGGGTAATTGTGTCTGAGAGCAACCAGGGAGCTCAAAGGAATCAACAGCATGCATCGTCTCACACACGTCAGGATGACATCCCATTGATGCCGAGCTCACAATACTTGGTAGCACATACATGGGTTCATCCTGACGTTGTCTCTTGGCCGGCGGTGGCTCACACGCAGCAAAGACGTTCCGGCCAGGCTTGCCTGAAGAATCAAAAGTACCTGGAGGAATCTGTGCGGGTGTTGGGTTCAGGCGTTTCACAGCAAACGTACAGTCCTGAGCCCGCTGCCACTGACGAAACAAGAATAGTTGCACAAGAGACGGCCGTCCCAATTCCAGGAGCATGCGCCGCCCACGTTTGTACAAGTTACATACGTATACACTCCAATCCATGTCGGCAGGTTTCGGGCGGCGTACCATAGAACACAATATTTTACCTTCCCACGTGTGCAACTGTTTCAAGGTGTGATGGTCCGCTGGCATGCCTTCAACGCCGAAAAGTACAAAGCTACGCAACCTAGATTCATAATGCTTGATTTTCTTCTGGAAGGGTACAGCACGATTCGTATAAAACTTGCGGAACTGATTAAATCGCTTCCAACCCCGAGCCAATTTCCAAGCCACATCAAGATTCATAATGCTTGGTTTTCTTCTGGAAGGGTACAGCACGATTCGTATAAAACTTGCGGAACTGATTAAGTCGCTTCCAACCCCGAGCCAATTTCCAAGCCACATCATGGTGTTTGTCAGTCTTGGTCGTGACCAGGCAACCCAGGCACTCCACTTCAGAGCATCGCGGAAGACACAGGGTACCGAGATCGTTCACCTGGACAACGAGGTTCCCCGTCGAGGCGCCGTCAGAGTCCTCCCCAAGGGCCAGATAGTGTAGCGAGGAATCTTTCCATCTGAAACCGTGTGTGTAAAGCTGAGCCGAAAAGTCGCCCACCATACGTGTGAGCTCAGTCTTTGATTTCGAGACAAGCAAAATGTTATCGGCCCAGAGCGCGTGAGTAAGATACCTCCCACCAGCCTCCTCCCCCAAATCGTACCCCAGCTTCTCCTCCTCCCAATTCAGTGCAATCTTATCCCACATGAGTAAAGTCACACACTTCCACAGGAAGGGGGCCTCCACACTGCCAGTACGTACGCATGCATCCCAGGGAATACCCGTCGCCGTGGAGCCCTGGAAGGTAAAATCCGCTGTGTCCAGGATACTGGGAGCGAGCAGCGCCAACGCAAGGTCATTGGGAAACCCAGGGATGGCATCCAAGGCCCGACTGGCCTTCTCAACCGTGACGTTACCAAAAGCAGTCTGCACATCTAATGACGCGAGGTGCAGGGTCTCATCTTTCCCCCACTCCAGAGCGTGTGTGGTGACGTGCTTAAGCGTGGCTGTGATCTCGTGCGTGCGCCTTCCCTTGCAAAATCCGTAGTTATGTAGATATTGTGGGACCCTTTGTAGATATCCTTCAGCAATCCCAACCAAACATGAAGTATACCATTTGCTTAGGCTGCTAAGTAAGACGCGAGCACGAGTATCAGACAACTTACTGATATCTTTAGCTTTCGGCATCAACACCACAAGCAACTCAGACCAAATCCGAGGAGTATGATACCGTTGAAGATGCAGGTCCTGGAATAACCGAAGAATGTGACGCAAACCAACCCACGTGATACGTTTCAACATAGAAGGAGAAACTCCATCCTTACCCACCGCCTTACCACACTTTAAGCGTGATCGTGCCTGCAACAATACGGACATAGAAATGGGGGCGACGGCCTGAGGGTTCGTGTCCTGCAGCCTCCTCCTCGTCCTTTCCTCGATACACTCCACGTTTCGTATCCCTTGCGCAGCGCAGTGGTGCTTAGCGAATCCGTGAGCATAAAGCGCCTTCTCCCACAACTCCCTATCCTCCGTAAGCACATTGTCATAACTCAATTTGTCCACCACCGTCCGAGTGAGCTTCCCGTCTCGATGATCGTATTCGAGTCGACGACGAGTGTGTGCACGCATCTCCTTCCTTCTCTCCTTCTTAACCCCCATGAGCTCCTCCTCCTGCCTTCCTTCGCGACGCAGACGGCGATATTCATCATCAAGTTCCTTATGACGACCTGTCTTTTTGGGGATCTGCATTTTCTTTGGGGCATTGGTGTATGACCCCTTGTCCTGCGTACATGCATCCAAGATAACAGGAGCCAATTCATCCGGGCAGAGACCAGGTGGGTAACGAGCTACAACATGCAAACGACGATCAAGGTTAGCCGAAACTTGCAATTCCGAGGCCTCCTCGCAGCACCAATGAGTGAACGTCTGCCGTGGCTTCGTTCTCCAACGTCGAGTCGGAGCGGCCGATTCGGGAACAGGCATGGTGAGTAGGGCATGGTCCGACAGGCGAGTCTTTCTGGGGTCCACGGAGCCCTTGAGTGTAGGCCTTAACCACGACACCTCCCACTGAGGCCTTTCCCAGGGGCTCGGAATACACAGGTCATCAAGAACCTTGTCCTCCTCCTCCGTCTCCTCCTTGGCCTTCCAGGTCGTACGACGGGTCCCAAAAGAGTTAGAAAAGACCAAACCATAATGCCACATACATTCACAGAGCTCGTCACACATGTACTGTTGCATCCTCCTCCTACCCTGCTGAAAACCTCCGCGTCCACCTCCTCCTGCATTGTCCCCTTCTTCAAATCTCTCACCCTGTACTGCAGAATCAGTCAA